AAAAATCATCTGCTCAAAGCACAGCAATGATAAAAGAAAAGTAAACTCTTAGGATACATAAAAAATTAGACTGTATTACTAGAATAGAGTTTAAGAGCACAACAGCTCCTATGTACATACAAAGCTTATGCTGACACAGTTAGTTCTTTATATTTGTACATGTCAAGTACAGACATCTTGCCTAAATTTTTCCTCCAACACTCTCATACTTCCAAGTGAATTCAGTGTAGTTTCTAATAGCAGAATTATCCAATTTTCATTTAGAATTGTTTAATCTGTGTAGGCAGACAAAATTTACTACTCAGGAAAGAAAAAAAGAATCATGATCTTTCCTTTTACAGTATCACATTTAAAAACAATAACATTAAATTACTTATCCTTTATAAAGAAAACCTGGTCATGTGAATATTTTAAGGGCAATCTGGATATCAAATTTTAGACAACACTACTGACTTACATTTAGAGAGGAAAAACTATATTACAGAAGATAACTAAACACCATGACACAGTTTATTTGAAGATCTTAAAAAATTCTGTTTCATAATGTTCATGTGTTACCTTCCAAGGGTAAACACTCATGGTACACTGGTGCATCAGTCAGTGCATGAATCACAAACCATTAGAGCTTGTACTTCTTTTTATTCATTTTTTGTTTTCTAAAAGGTTAATGTACATGTATATACAGTTCAAAGAACTTCAGATATTTTTAGAGAAATCAATATCTTTCCTGTGACTTTACAGTAGTGTTAGAGTTCACTTTTTCTTTATTTCTACTAAAAAAAAAAACCAAAAACAAAAACATAGAGACAAATAAAGGAATTTTCCAGTCCTCATTTCTCAGAAACTATTCATGTGTTATGTTTTTCAAAGTATCATTTAAAACTATTGTATATAATTTGTTGAGTAAATGTTGCTGCTCTCCCTTGATTCTCTCTCAGAAAGCTTAGCTGTGGACCTTGCAAATTTGTACTCAGTTTTACATTTTACATCTGCTTCAAAAATCAAATCTAAAAAGCAATAATAGAACTATTTCTTTACTTTATACCTTGTTTCATTAACACCTTTCTGGCTTTCTTCATTTTAGCTTATTTCATATTTCAAAATCTTGTCTTGCATGTGCAACACCTTCTTTTACATAAGGACATAGCAGAGCCACATTAAAGTTAAAAAAAAATAAAATAAAATAAAGCAGCACGTTGATCAAGATGTTTTCTACAAGCCATAGCTCAACTGAACAATAACAAAAAAATCCTCAGTGGTTGTGTGGTGTATGAGATGGCAAAATAGCCAAAGTATTCTTCAACAAAATGAGCTGTCTGCCACGATTTATCTGTACAATTCCATCACAGCTCTTGCCTGTTATGTTACACTTATCAAAAGTATGTCATTAAGCTGCCATAAAAGTCATCACAAATTGCTTTTTCTCCCAAACTGATAATAGACTTATAGATCTAATTTTCAATCTCTTTTCTTCATTACTTTGATTCTTAAGGAGAGTATGACATTTGCTGTCTGAATACTTTGTAGTAATATCTGGCATCTCTACAGCACTTCTGTCTGAGTATCTCTGAGCTTTTAATAGGTTTGTCTTAACACTGCCTTGAAATGATGACATATTTATTTGTCTCTATTGCAGACTCTTAAAGAAATTGTTTTTATAATTTCACTGAAAAACTACAAGGCTTGTTGAAAAAAAATGACACAACAAAGCCTTCAGTACTGTCAAGCTACACCATTAAAATCCTGACCCTTCACAGCACAAGAGCAAAGAACAAATGTGAGGCCTCCTGGTTTTCATTCCAATGTTTTTAGCTTCATGGACTGTCCTCTACACAAAACATGAGAGCTGATTGACAGAAACAACTAAGTAATTGAGAAATTAACAACAAATTACAAATTAGATTTTCATTCTTATGGTGATCCCCTCTCATTTTTCACCAGTTAACATATGAAACTTTTTTCTGTTCATATAGGCCTTCATATGTATCAAACTAACATTCAGCACTTGAAACTGGCCTTGCTAATGAGCTAAGTGCATTTGTGACAAAAGCTAGGAGCAGGCTGGTTTAGAAAGTTACTTGCAGGGTTAATGAAAGTAACACAGGAAAAGATCACAGGAGCAATGATGGAAAATCAGGGTGAAGGAGAAACAGAGAAGAAAGCAAGTTTCCCTTTTATTATCTCACAACCAAATTTTTCCAATTAATATGCAGCAAAATCCACCACCCAAGTAGCCTCTAATGATGTAGGTCACTTTTGAAGCACTTGACCAAATACTTAATTACCCTGTCCCAGGCCAATAAAATATAGATCTTATATCAGATTTTTTCAGCACTGATCTTCAAACACTTCACAAATGTGCTATTATGCACCACAGCCAACCCCAGAGACGCAGTAACTCACCCTGTTTTACCCAAAAGGTTGATGAGAGAGCTAAAAATAGAGACCATATTTCCCCAGCCCCAGGGGAACTACTTCTCCCATGACACAGGGCCTGATATTTCTTTGAGAATGCCCCAAGTCCAAACTGACAATTAGCAGTCACTTCTACTTAGACAAAGAAACCTAAACCCCTCTACACTGTCATAGCACAGGCAACCACCACAGCTCTGAAGTGCTGTGTTTGAAGACATCCAAAGAGGCCTTCAGAGCAGTAATTGAGGGTGTGCCTGTGCTCTACAGCAGCAGGATGCTTCCCAGACTAATTACTTCAGTGCAGCTTCCTTGCTATATTCCTTCTGAGCAAGCTCATTCATCTTCATATTCCATTATGGAATGTGGATACATCCTCAGACAAATCAATTTCTCTAGGTAAGGGATACACATTTGTTGAGGCAAAAACCAGTTTAAGAAGCATTATCATGAACAAATGCTCTCACAGTACAACCATTTGTATTTCCAATTGACTCCCAGGTTTAAATTCTTCATATCAGAATGGATTCAGACTGAAATGGGAAAAAATGCAGTGTTCTGTTTATATCAGAACAAGAAATACATCAGTAACAGCTCAGCTGAAGTCTGGCAAGGAGAGGTGCGAGACTGTTTTCCTGCCCTAGCATGAGGGATGTGATTTGCTCATCCTCAGAAGAAAAATTAGTCTGAACAACAAAGAAACATCAAATTCCAAAAATATACTTGCATTGGAAACATGCCCAGGTTTGGCAATAACTTTGCCACACACTTTGTCTACACTGAGTGTGTTGAAAGGGAATTTTTCCTTTAGAGACTCTCTTGGAGCCTTACTGAGAACGCCCAGTTCCCAAGGCCCAATTCTTGATTCACCCTCTCTCCTGTCAGCAACTATCTGTAAAACTTACTACATGGTATGCGTTTTTACATTCCTCTAACACCAGTTTGGCACAGAAGAATCAGAATTCAAACCTTACCTTGTCAGTGATTTATACAACCACAAAACAGAAAGCAGCCATTTTTCAGCTTTCTCAGGTGCACACAACCTCACCACCCCTGAAGGACACTACCATAAGAAAGTGCTTTCTAATGGTCAAGAAGCTAAAGTACCTCTCTCCCTCCTGTACACTGCTTTCCACATTATGTGGCTTTCAACTCACCAATCTTACTGTAGTTTTTTTCCAGAGGATCTTTAGCCTGTTCTAGGATAGTACAAGCAATGCTGAATGAGAACTCACTCAATTAATCCTCACTGTTCACTATGTGGTATCTTGCTGTAATTTACAGCATCTACATGTAGAATCATAACTGGAAAATCTCTCATTTCTCTGTTGATCACTATTGGGCACTTGAATTATTTCTTTATAGTAACTACTCCCCAGCACCTCCATCAGACAATTTTATGGTTCTTTTTTCAAGGTAGCAAACTGGCAGACAGTGATGTGTATCAGGATTGCCCATCATTAGAGATGGTTGACTTGAAATACTTTGGGTCTCTCTTCAGAGGATAAAGCAATTAAACAGCACTTTGTCAGTACAAAGTACAACTTCAACCTCTTTCAGTGCTATCATGTGTTTTCAAAGCTGACATTAATCGGTCCCAAGAGCCTGAACTCAGAAAATGAGAAGTTCACAACTAATGGCCATATTTAAAACATGTGGTTGAAGTGAACCACCCAACCTCACACAGGAGTTCTATGGCTGAATTAAGATTTGCCTTTAACCCTTCAGAATAGCATCCAACAGCCCCGGGTGTAAATCCCATCTGTCAATGTTAATTCCTTCCTTTCTTCACCTACCAGGTCTCCTCCACCTTTAGCAGCTAGGAGGAAGCAAGTCTAAAGGAAACAAGCTCATTAATTAGCACAGCTGGATTAATTTCCTAAATGCCATTTATCTGGCCTTCCTGAAAACAGCAAGTGCTTTGTGGATAAAGATGAGACTGAAATTATACCAGAATATGCCATTTTAAGGCAGAAATTTATCACTACCAAGCTGAGTTTACACCAACAACTTCTATTCCAGCATTTCTTATCTGTTGAGAGCTTTGCATTGCATCCCTGTCAGAGAACTCCACATTCTCTGAATTTTCACTTCATGCAGTCTCAAATAACAATCTAAGATTTAAATCTATGTTTGTATTGCCATGTCCCTTGATACATTTGCAGCTACAAGCTTGAGAAATTCCAACTACAGGATCTCCTAATACTGAACACACCCAAAGAATCTCTGCAAGGGCACAACTGCACTGCAAATGTATTGGTCTATGCAATAACTACAACACAGCACAGGAACATTATAGAGTTTTGGACCTCCAGTGTAGCAATCACCAGAAATCTCCCAACACTAATTTCTAGCAGAAACTTTTATATCACCTCAGAAAAGTGAGTTTCTTTCAGTTTCACCCATGCCAGCATGTAACATATCACTGTTTTCCTTGTTTGACACGAAGTCAACAGCCAACCCCTCATTCCAGAATGCTTTACAAACCACAGCAGCATCACATTTCTGTCTGTGCTTTGCCACTTGAGTTCATCATCAATAAATACTCATTTGAATGCCTGTTTGAAAAAGCCAAAATGCAAACTCACCTCATTCCCACCAACAGCTTTGGTTAAAATTACAGCAGAAGACACAGGAGGTGGCATGCAGCCCACTGTCTGCAAGCTGAAAACAACAAAAAGAATGTTACGTTCCATTTCTTACAGGAAGCAAACACTAAGCAACCTGCTACCTTAAAATACCAAAGAGCCAAGTAAAATCCTATCACCTGTGCAGTGCAATCAGTTTCCAATCACTTCCAGCCCTGAACTAGGAAAGGCTCCTGCTGGCAACATTTCTGTGCCATCTCTCACCAGTCAGCACTGTGAAGAGTCATGTCACCATGCAAAAAGCACAAACACTTAACCTCTCTGTGACTCCACTTCCCCATCTGTAGTCCTGCAGCTCTCATTCACAAAGGTCTCTATACATCTATCACACACTTCCAGATAAAAACACCTGGCTGCCATCAAAGCATAAACAGCTTTCTCTCACACTTTAGAAATCCAAGATACCCTATTATTATTGTCATTTCGTAGCATTGTTTGTGCAGCAAAGTTATTGAAGTGCACAGTAAATGCTGTTACAAAGTAAGAAAAAAGTGGTGAGCTTTCCTTTGTTTTCAAAGACAGTTCACAAAATCACACCACGATAAATTACAATTAAATTTGGGGCTAAGTAAAATAGGGCTTCTGAAGAAAAACTGTGTTGACTTGTAAGGAACAGTAATGAATGGAATAAAATAGATTGCAAAATCCCCAAAAGTGTGGAATCTACATATGTTTTCAAGTATCAGAGCTTGAGATTCTAATTCAGAACAATCAATTACTAGTGTTGAACTATTTTGCATTTGTGACCACATCAGTAGAACCCCCAAGAAAGGCAGTGCCAAAAAGCTGCAGCAAACAGAAGTATTAAACCCAGGCACCAGGGTGCACATTGCAGTGCAATTGATATTCGACAAATATACAAAAAGCTTAAAGAGAAGAAACAGGTAAGTGACAATGACAGCATTCCCCTTGTCAGCCACAGACTCTGTGGGAGAGGAAGAGGCAGCCAATGTAAGCATTATATAAATCCAACCACAAGGTGCCAAGCAGCACTTTGGAAGCACAGAGCAAACTTACAGTGAAATAAGCTATGGCAGCAGAGAGTTGTCAGCACGTGGCAGAATAAGCTCACATTGAAAAGAAATTAAATAGAGGAAAAAGAAATGGTGCACGAAAGTCTGGAAACATAGAGGAAAATAAACAGCAGGCAAACAAAGACATGGCAATCCTGATGTCCATCTCCTACACTGTGATACTGTCATCTCTCCTGTGTGGCAGCCAGCTCCTCAAACTTCTCACCTGCTCTAATGAGGAGTAGATTAAATTCAGAGTTATCCAGAGAGGTACAAAATGTGTGCAAGAGCATTCATGTCAGCTGGCAGGGATTTTCCATACTATAAGGGAAAGATTTAATCATACAACCTCTGTTAACCCTCTCAAATTGAAAACAACATATTTGGGATTAAAAAATAAAAATCCCTATCAAGTAATATTAATCTAAAAAAAAATGGTATAAACTAAAAGGATACATTTTTAATTGAGTGTATGGAAATATGTGCCTGTAAACTTTTTTTTTCAGTTTGTATCAACTACACAATTCTACCAATATATAAACAGATCCCACTAATGGCCAACAGACTACTAGAGATAACAACCAACCAACTCATACATTCCAATGGATCAGGCCATGCTGTGAGTACTAACATCAGGGGCCAGACATTTGCTCTTCTGCTGATACCACTACAGACAACTGAGTAGCAGAGTCTGAAGTCACATGTTTTAGATGTGAAAGCTCCAAAGTCATACCTTATACCCAATCTTTGCATCTCATGCCTCACCACCTGTGCTGTAAATGTGACATGCTAAAAGTGGAGAAGAGGTGAATCTGCATACCTTAATAACCTGCTTCATGCTTCTTTTCAAATAGATGTTGTCAGTGCAAAACCTCATCAACTTAACAGAAAAAAACTTATAAGATGCTTAGGAGGATGTCAACTTCTCCTCTATTTTATAAATTTCCAAATAATTGCAAAACAACAAACCTCCTAATATCATCCCAGACAGAGAGAGAGGAAAGAAAAAAATCCCACTCAGCTGTAGAAACACAGGTCAAAAGTTGATACCACCCAAATCTACCTCTCAAATAACACTTAGAGCAAAAACAGGCCATTAGAGAGGATAGGAGAATCTACCATGCATTGTGAAGCAAGATGGAAAAGGTTCTGTGGGCTGTGCCCTTCAGGCATAACCCTGTGTAGGGAGCAGTGGAGAGCTGCAGTGCCCAGGGAGCCACCCTGCAAGGGTGCTGCCTGCCCTTGGGAGCACATGCCTGTTTTCCCAGCCCTTTGGAGGGCTGCCAAGCAGCCTCCACCACATGCTGTGCTAAATGGTTATAAGGAAGCAACTTTGCCCAAACCTGCTCCCTTCCCTGTTTTCCTTAGTGTTTCTAAGGGAATAAAAACTAAGCTGTGGGGCATGGGGATGAACTTTTGTTTACACAGAGCTGCCACAGCACAGTCCCTCACACACACACAGGGACCCGCTTTGAAATGTGTTGTTCTAACTTAGGACAGAGCTCAGTATCTTCTGCACCTGCATCACCCTGTACAGCTCTGAGCATGGCCTGAACAGCAGTACTTCTCAAGAAAGCACTCTTAAAAAAAACCCCAACCAAACCACCTTAACTAACTCCTCAATCTGATAATTCTTTCAGTGAAGCCTCAATACAAAGAGTTACTGCACTAAAAGATAAAAAAGCCAAATCAGAAGCAGCACTCAAGGAACAAGTGCTTGAAAGGCAGCTTGAGGCACACAGAAGTGCAGCAGCTCACTAGCAGGACACAGACACACTCTCACGACAAATGAGCCTGGTGTAGGCTCCACATTTAGAGAGATAAATGCACAAGTATTTATTTTTTTACAAAAATACATACATCCCAAGTTTTACAAACAGTTTTACGAGTGTGCATGCATATACATATAATTATACTCATGCATGCAACAGATCAAGTCACTTAAATCCTAAGAATCAAAGGGGCATAAGACTCATGGGAAGGAAGGAAGGAGACATGTTTCATGGAACCAAAAGCCCCACAAAAATCTTTCACCTTGCACTTCAAAATTCCTTCCTAATCTTTTCTGGCTACTGTGGAAAATCACATCTTTCTCCTAGCTGAGAAAAAACTTCACAATTATTTTATTGTAAAAAATACCCTTTACTGCAAATAGCTAAATACAAATGAACATCATATATCAATCTTGTTATTGCCTTGCTTTACTGGCACTGTTAAGCAAAAAAGTGTTAACTTTTAATTGATGTTGTCTCAGTGTCACCTTTTCAGTGTTATTTGGACCAATTCACACTTGATGGAGCATCAGGAGAAGCCTCTTACAAACAGACTGAAATGCTCCTTTAGGTTTAGGCCTTGTTGAAACATCAACATGAGCAGCTTTTTCATTAAACTTTTAAGACAAGGAACTCCCCAAGCAATGTTTCACCAAGCAGTAAGAAACAATGGGGATTCTTTCAACAGTTTTCTGAAATAATTGATTTTTAACATTCAAACATTCCAGTATACCTGCATGGCACTAAGTATTGACTCCCATTTCAAAATATAAACCTTTTAACTTTTTTTTTTACACAGCATCTATCCCTAGTACACCATCCATGCAACTTTGCACATTGGCAAGATTTAAAACTCAGTTTTCATGGTAACTTAATTTCTGCTCATCACAAACTTCTTGTCCTATAAAAACTTTACCCCTTTTTTCCCCATAATTTAGCTGGAAGCTGATACTGAACCCATGCAAGAAATGCTCAACACAAACTACTTAAAACCAGAAGACCAGTATGTGGCATACACAATATTTATTCACTGATTTATGCTTTTCCTTCAGCATTCCATTTCTGTCCTCCCCACCTTCCCTGAGACCCAACCCATCACTTCAGCTGTGTTTTGTGAAAAAGAAAGCTAACCTGTTGCAACCTCCCTACACATAAGACTGTCCAGACCTTCTGAAAATGAGAGCAGGTTCCTGAAGGGATAACCTTGTGCATGCACTTTGTTTTCAACAGCAAAGTGCTGAAGCACAAAAAACAACCAGCAAAATCTGTTCACAGTACCACAAAACACCAGTTGCAGGATAAGCAGCCCTTTAAGATGACAGCTACAAATATATTTCACTACATTATACTTAAACATACCCTTTCAAAAGCCATTCATTTATAGGTGTGATTGATAACAGCTGAAGAAAGACCCATATTGCTGTTGGGAAGAACACAAGTGTAAAAATCTGGACAAAAAGGTGTAGTTTCACATGCATCAAAGCACTTGTCAGCTCCTGCAAGAGAAAAAGAAGAGAGGAAGTTGCAGTCATAACAGCTGAAGTAAGATCATATTTGTGCTTTTAAAACTAGGATCAGCTTTACCATACAAAAGGAGTGCATGTCAAAAAGTCACCTTTAGGGATCATCTGATCTCTTTAATAATGAAGTACATCCAGGCAACATAAAAGCTGTCTGCTCCTGGGCATTTTTCCACGAGAATTGTCCAGCACTTCAATAATAGTGTAGCTCTCAGAACTGCAGCTTTTCAGCAGGCAGCCTTAGCACTTTGTCATGGCTTCAAACCCTGTGTTAACTGCACTGATGGCTGTTTACTTTACTGACTTTCCATATCAGCAATCATGAAAACTTGTAGTGAGCACATGATTGCAGGTTCCTCTGTCTAAAGAGAGCCACAAATGCTGATTCTCATTTATACTATTTAGAAAAAAAAGGATGTCTATGCATGTTTGTATCTCCAACCATTCATTTATGGTATCAGGGGTTGTTTTTTTATGTTTGATATTTTTTCCCTAAAAGCAAAGTAGCAGACTTTGATTATTTATTATATCAAAAGGAAATTTATAGGAACAAAAAGAAGTCTGATGAAGAATAACAAAGAAAGAATGCTAAGACCATAACAAGCTAAAAGCTGTTAAGCCATAAATTTCAGAGAAATAAAGTCTAAAATACCACTGGAGACTCAGAAAACAACAACAAAAAACTTAATTTTAAATAGTATAAGAGCACTCCAGAGAGGTGATCAAGTACCCTTGAAGAAAAAAACTCTTCTGCTACCTCTGTGTCTGTTTCTGCCTTTTCAGGCACTTCAAGGACCTTCTACACAGGTTTTTGAGTACAACAAAAGAGCCTTACACATTTCAATTAATTTTAAATCTTGCAGACTGAGAATAAAAATTCCTCTTCCTTTCTCTCACAGTAACTTGCACTCTTCTCAAGCAAATGATGCAAAAGAACTGATGGCACTCTTATTCAAAATCTAATTTGCTGGGATTCTTCAGCTGACACTCCAGATGCATTAAACATATCTATCTATCTGTATCTTACATACAGAAGTACCCTTCTAATTTGATATTTTTACAACTGGAAAATGCCTCAAGACCAGAGGGTTTTAGGAAGACTCTGTGATACTTCCAAAACCAAAACTCAAGACAGAAAAAAGCCTCACTGTAACTTCCAGGGAGCAAGGAAGGTGATACAACACAGCCAACCTACTGCATGGAGGAATGCTGTATTGATGGAACAAACCTTTGCAGATCTAAATTACCAATCTTGAAAATGTCTCCAGTGATTGCCTTTGAGAATAATAATAGTTATTTAGATAATATTAGAATAAATTATTTAGATAATATAATAATATTATTATTATAATATTATGCCTTAGACTGGATGATTACAGCATAAACGCTGAGGCAAACAGCCTTCACCCTCTTAATCAATTTACAAGGACTTATCCAAAAATACATCTGCCACCTCAAAAAAAGTTGCTGGAAGCTGCTGGTGAGGGCTGTGTTTCTGCACACCAGACAGAATAGGTTACCTTGTTTTTCCCAGTTTTTCAGACCCTTTAGGGAGCCCATCCCAGCCTCTCCCTGGCTGGTGTGGGTCCCTGTTGCCATCCAGGCACTCTTCTGGTAGTCACAGCTGGACTCTGAGCAAATACCCACACAGAGCCAACAGTGTTTTCAGTGCCTTGCCAAATTCCTCGTTGAAATGGATAACTCAAGTATGTGATTTAATTTCTGGGGCCCTATGGGAGGGATTTGCTTTAAAAGAGCAAGCTATCCAGTCACTGCAAACTGAAATAACATTATATTAAGGTGGAATGAAATGTTCTTGTCAGAGAACACTGAGTGTTTCTACAAATGTGAGAGGACCTTGATCACCTCTGGTTCTGAAAGTGTAACAAGGCCATGCACAGACAGGCTCTCCTTGAATGTTGCCAGTTATTCTGTAAAATGCTTTCTGAACACACTAGTAAATTTTTTGAGCATGCACTTACACAGCAGATTAAACCAGGAGTGTAACCTTAAAAGAGCATCAATTATTTCTAATTTTGTCAGATTTATCAGAAAGCCTCTGTTAACACTTACAAATTTTTTCATCCTGTCATAAACCAAACGCTAGTTTCCATCTAACTAATACATTGTCTAAGGTAGAACAGCTGATATGCAGGTCAAGAACAAATAAAGCCAAAAGCAAAAACCATATACTTTGCAATCCAATAAAAAGGCATATTGAGTAATAATACCAACTTTAGGTTGTGCCTTAAACAACTAAAACATGCCTCAAAGTATTTTAATAAAAACATGACCTGGCCACCTAACACATATGAGGATTGTTTTTAACATACATTTTAGAAAGTAATAGCACAAGCTACAATGTGAGAAATTATTTTCTTTTTCTGGCTTCTATGTCCATGGCAGAAATTCAGGTAAGACCTAGCTTATTCATGAAGCTGGATGACAGCACCAGCCCTAACTGCTGCTCCCAAAGCAATCTGAGATCAGCTCCCTGAACATAAACATCCTGTAAAAACTTCATTTATATCAATATATTGCTTTTAATACCACAGATGGAAAAAAGTTATGTAAGTTCAAAGTAAGACATGACACATTGCCAGAAAAGTGGCAGTCACATCACCTTAACTGGAAGAAGTTAGCTGTAAACTAGCATGAAGAATCTAATCAGGACTTTGACAATGCTACTGATTTCTCACAGCTGCTTTACAAAAACAAGGTTTCAAGGATACAAACTAGTGAAAGGGGAAAAAAATTTACATTTTTTTCTCTGCATGCAAAGATTCCTAAGCCAGAAAGTGGAAAAAGTCCACTCTAGTAATACTACTCAGGTTTGTGTTTTGAGTTCTCTTCTCTGTGGAAGAGAGTGCCTCTCCACAGCTTATTTCCATTAAAGTTGAAGAGATGAAAGTTTGCCACTACAACCATGATACAGGTGGAGAGACTTTTTTTGCTGTTGAATGCACAGTGTTCACTCAAATCCTAGTTCACCAGGAGATAACTGGATAAATTTGTGATGATTCTTTCAGGCATTAGTATCATGCAACTTATGAATAGCATCCCCTGTTAGTCAACAGCACAAAGGAATCAGAAAGCTAGACTAGCAGAGATGTGCAGTGTTTCATTTCAACTCTGGCTGCTCCTTCTCTTCTTGGCACATAGCCATCATCTCCTTTCTCCATGATTCCTTCATCTCTTCTGAATCCCAGACTGTTCCTCTTTGAATAACAAGTGACACAAAATTTTAAACAAATCCCAGTACCTGTGATATGCACCAGAGGGCAGGTAACTCAAGTCCACCTGTCCACAACAAAATCCTATGGGAAAACATTACCAAGACTTTGCCCTTGTATACTGACACTGTATCTGCACAGAACCCCTCTGTGCTGACCCCAGCTGCTGCCCTGGCCCTACCAAACGAGGTAACCTAAAGCCACCAGGTCTTTGTTCCCAGCCATCCAGCAGTGAACAGCTGCATTTCACCCTGGTTTGGGTTTGGGCCACAGTCAGGGAGTAGATCCAGTCCCCAAATTGTGCTCATCACCTCCATTTAGCTAAAGCTGTGCAGAGACAAACCACTCACCCCTCTGTGGATGGGTGACACTTATTCACAATATCCCTCTCATCATTCTCATTGCTTTGTGAAGCACCTTCTAATATGAAGGAGGGCTATCCCTTAAACATCTAACATTTCTCTTCTCTTGCTAGCCATCCTCCCAGTACCACCACCATTCCAATTATATTCAAATCTGATCAAAAGGAACACAAAAATTTTTTAGAGCATAACAGGAATGAAGAAATGAGAAATTACAGTACCTCAGTTTTTAAGGAGAGTCCACTGTTAAAGAATATAGCTGAAACAGCAATATAAGTTATGGTAATTTCTGGTTTCAGGGGTCCTAAAAAATACAGACATAGAGAATAAAGTGAGTTACAGTCAAAGGGAAAATGATATGCATATATCAGGGTAAGTGAGAATACTTAAAAAAATACCTGGAGAAAATCTAATCAGTAAAGTTTCTAATAAAAAGAATGGCATTTCTATCAAGTTACAGAAAGCATGCTATTCATTTTTAAATAAAAGTAAACCAGTGAGTGCAGAGTGAGTTAAGTCATCACATAAATTTGACTTCCATGATTAGAGGCCACTGGGAACTCACAGATATATTCTGGAAATTTGAAAATGGGGAGCCTTTCACATTTCTGCAATCAGACTATCCCTACAGCATCAGAAACTTCAAACCATACACTCCAATAAAAATACTAGCTGGTACCTTCACAGGGCCATTGATATCCCTCACACAGCTCCCTCTCACTTCTTTCCCTACAACACACACACACACACCTGTCTGGCTGCCTGCACAGGAGAACCCAAATCACACCTGGCAATCACTTCCTCGGGGCAATACAATTCTGTTATTCCCCTCACAACAGAAGATGGTTCCAAATGGTTCATTCCAGCCCCACAATAACACATTTCAGACACTGCTGCAGTGAGAGCAGCAGGGGCAGATGCCTGCACCACCAAGGGTTCCTCTGTATTGAAGGCTTACATTTGTATATATTTATATACTTTTTCAGGGAGATTAAAATATAGTCTTTTTTTACGCTCCTATAAAAATGACAAATTCTCTTAATACACTTTGCCTTCAGAGGCCACCAGGCATAAAATGTATGTGCTCATTTTTTCATGAGCATTCAACCAGATATTACATTAGAAAGAAAATATGAGCAGTCTACTTAGGACCAAAGTAATTTCCTCACTCTACAAGTGACCCTAAGATGTCCTGAGCAAAGCTGCAGCAGCAAACAAGGCAGCCTTGACTCAGCACTGCAGGAGAGAGGAACCTTTCTGCTCCCCTGGATCAATGACACATTGGTGGTCACACTGGAGTAGGGTCAGTGGTCCTTAAATCAGAGGGACTTGACTGTACAAGTAAAATTTGCATCTCAAGTCATTTCAACCCAAATGCTACTCTCAGAGAGAATTCTGTTGATAAGACACTAAAACTGTGTTTTCCAAACACCCAAAAAAACCCAAAACAAACAAACAAAAAACCCTCACCAAGCTACATATATGAAGGTTAAGGTAAAAACAAGACAGGAAATGCAAGAGTCAACAGTTGCAACAAAGGACATAACTAGTTGCAAAATTATGGCACATTAACTGAATAGATGGGGGAGGGAAAAAATCCAAAAGATTATATAAGTACATATATAGCTCTACAGAAAACTATATTTTATAGACACAATTACCTCTTTTTTTCTAATCCTTTAGAAGATTAGAGTCTCTGTGTACATGCACATACAGCAGACAGGCAGTGGGTTCATCTGGCTACAACAGGGGTTCTCCAGGACTCAGTTTTTTCTGGTTTCTGGTTTTTCACTGGGCTACCTGAACTCCTTCTCCCAGGAGAAGCCTCTACCACCAGAGCAAGCACACACTCGAGGAGCACAGGGAACTCTCTCTGGCCACAACAGAAAAATTCTTTTCACAAAGGAACTAAATGGGCTCATTTATCAAATAGGAAAACACACAAAAATGGCTTGGCTTATGTCACAGAGGTGACACCAACACAAATCTTTGTTATTTATGGCACAATCTTCCACGGGCATGGATGCTGGACCATCCATACCACTCACTAAAGCCCTGCAAATTACCGTGCATGGCTTTGTCAGCTGGAAGATGACAAACTAAGGTTTTTCCTGTGTTGATACTTCCCAGCCTTCACCTCTTTCTGCTTTTAAAAAGAAATATTTTTCTTCCTCAGAGCACGGAGATCCCATGGTTTCAGAGGAAGGGATACCACCATGGGGAACATGTGCTCGCTACTTTCAATCAATCCTTCCAAGATTTTTCAAGCAAGTTGTCCCAGGAACAATACAGTGTCAAAGCTTGACATCTCTTTGCAGCAGGATAATTTAATGAAGTGCTCCATCATAGTGCTTCCATGCAGGAAGTGAGCCGAGGAACAATTATCTCCTGTTCTTGTTCAAAGGACCTCCCACACGGCTGCCAACAATTAGCCCGGCACTCAAAGCAGAGAGGGACAAAACACCTGATATATCAATTGCAAGTTGTCTCTAAGGAGTGCAGAAAACACAGCGCGGATCCTGTGAGAAGCTCCACGTGGGTTCTGTTCACCCCTGCAGAACAGCACACCGATGTCACAGGGGATCCTTGCACAGCAGGAATTTGCCTGCCCTAAACTCCATGAGGTACCAGAGCCTGAGTTGCCACAGCATGTGTTCAGAGCCAAATTTTTTTTAATCAAATTCTTTTTTTCCCAGAAGCTAAGAGGTGGGAAAAGTCTGGCTCCTCAGTTCCAGGAGAAGCTGTCTATACTCAAACTTCAGCTCTGTTAAGAAAAAAAAAAAATTAAAAAAAACTCCTATAAAAGAACAGATAGATTCTCCCTCCTCTCACATAACATGGAACTGCTAGAGGAATTCTATTGAAGTGTTCTACATCCCTTTTCTCAAGCCACCAGAGAACAATTAGGAAGAAGAAATACAACCTAAAATATGTTCCTGAAATCTGTGAATGTCTGGAGCTGAAGTTCCAGTGGAAACTGATGAGGATTCACCCCAGTGTTTACACTTAAAGATACATTGTTTATGTTTAAATAACAGTGACTTTCACCAGCCCTGGTTCCGGGACACATCCAAGCCCTCCCTGCCCAGCCAGGGACAGATGTGCTTCGCTCCTGTACGCATCTTTCACACCACCATCTCCCACAGGATCAGTTTCCCTGTTTTCTCCCACCTTCCATTAGGAAGTAAGAGGGAACAACAACGAGACAAAAAAAAATTCCAAAACTTTAAAACACAAATGTTCTACTATAAAGCGATGGAAAAGGTCTGTCCGGAGCACAGCACCCGAGAGTTTACCACAGCACTCCTTCGGCTGCACCTCCAGACGGCAGCAAGCCATGCCCCGAGCCGCGGGACTCCGTGCCCACAGCCCTGCAAGTTCTGGCGGAGTTGAACGGGAGCACATTCCGAGCCAGCCACGGCTCGGCTCCCGTGGCTCCTGATCCCAAAGGAGCCGGACGCTCCTCCGGGCACAGGTACGGCGCCGAGCAGGGGCACGGGAACACAGCGGGAGCAGCTCCCGGGATCCTGAGGAGCAGGGGCTGGCAGTAGGGAGTGAGAGGAGCCCATGGAGGGCAGGGACCCCGCACGGGCGGGACGGGGCGCGGCCGCCGGGAGTTGCCGAAGTCCCGGTGCTCCCGGTACCCCCGGGAGCTCCCGCCCGCACTCGGCGCCCGCACTCACCGCCTTTGACGCCGACGCCGGGCTCCAGCCGCGCCACAGCGATGACCAGCACGATGCCGAGGATGAACCACTCCTTCCGCAGCCGCTCCAGCAGCCCCATGGCGCTGCCCGGCGCGGCGCGGCTCGGCTCCGCCCGGCGCCGCTCGGTCCGGTTCGGCCGGGCTCGGTCCGGCTCCGCTCGGCGGCTCGGGGCGGCTGCGGGCGCGGGGCGGGGCCGGCCCCACCGCCCGCCGGCAGGGCCAGCCGGATCCGCTGACGGCACAGGGCTCACCCACCTCCGCCATCGCTACCACGCGCCTCCTAATAGGCGCGCAGTCCCGCGCTGCTACCCGCACGGCTGCGCGCAACCGGGGCCCCCCGCCGGCTCCGACCGCCCCCGGCTCGCATCCCCTGCTGAGGCGGACACCGCGGGCGGCGGTGCTGGGAACGGGACAGCTCCGTGGCTGCCGTCGCCGGGCGGGTCGGGGAGGGCGCGGGCACGGAGCCGGCAGGGCGGGCGGGCGGGCGCGGGCCGGGCGGTGGCGGCAGGGCGGGCGCAGCTCGGGATGCGCGCTGTTTGGGTGGATTACAGCGCCCGCGTGACGGCCGGCGCCTGACGCGCGGGGGGCGGGCGCTAGCCGGGAAGCGCCGGGGCGGGATCGGGATCCGGGATCGCTCCGTGAGGGCGGGCGCGGGTCGGGGCCGGCGGGACAAGCACCGACAGCGGCGCTCCCCGCAGCCCGGGAGCCAGGAGCGCCGAGCGGGCGGGGGCTGCTGCCGCCTCACGCACCTGTGACCGGTGCGCGCTCCCGCCCGTCCTCACGGCGCTGCGCTGCTAGGGACACGTGGATCGGGATCGCCCGGGAGTTTCCATTGAGCGCCCGCCTGGCCGTTCTGGGCAGCCCCAAAGGCACCCGTTCAGCCCCTGTCGCGAACAGTACTTCCCAGCGGCGGGCGGTTCCCTGGTTTGCCTCAGTGCTAGAACCACTTCCATTAAAACCTCGTGTCCTAAAACCTCATCCTGGTGCTCCACCCGCGCTTTCCATTCCCTGTTCCCCCCTTGCGGCGCTTCCCCGATGGATTCATCGTCCTGCCCGGCCACGGCGCTCCAAGCCCATGGACAGGGAGATGATAAAGCAGGAGACGCTCTGACTTCCAGCGGCTCCCGCCAGTGCTGCCCATCCCGCAGGGCTCTGCCGTGCCCGGCACCTCTGCTGCGCCACTCCTCAACATCTCGGGCAAGTTTCATCCTGCACAGTCTGCCGATGTGTCCAGGCTTCAAGGAATAGCCCTGCCACGGGCTTTCTACTACCACGGAAAGATGTTTATAGCTGAAAGCTCAGCTGATCTCCAAGGTGTGTACATCTCTGCGTGTCCTGGGAGGTTCACTTGTGGAAACAGGGATACATCAGAGTCTAAGTGTTTGGATAGGGAGGGAATGTGCCTTCTCCCACCCGCAAGCTGATCCAAATAGTGAGGTTTAAAATGATTGTACATTTCAGTGCTTTGCTAAAGTTTACTGGAGTTCATGTTGATCCTTACTCCCTTTTTAGGAGGTAGAGACAGATGGCAAACCCCCCCCTGCACTTGCCCTCTGCAACCACTGCAGGTTGGCTTTTTGGGAGAAAATAAATGCATAATGTTCATCTAGAGCAAGCTGTGATTAGAACGAGTGGAGGATTTGATCACTTGGAGGATTTGATTGCTGCACAGGTGAGAGAAATCAGATGAAGATGTGCAAAGTTTATCATATAAACTATGTTAAATCTCTCTTTGGATATTCACTCACAGGTGGCCCTAGTTCCAGGACATGGATCAGAGCATGCACACCTTTTCCTGTGTGGCTCTGAAAGCACACCACCAAGGGCATGGGCCCTCTGGTCTGAACACAGCAGGAGACCATGGAGATGTCCATGGTTTCCCTGGTAGTTCTCTTGTGAGTTTGTACACAGTCCTGGAGCTCCGAACAGAGATGGCAAAGGAGACTTTGCCCCCTATTCCTGGTGGTTCCATCCAGGCCAATGAGTTGCAAGATGCAGAGGCCTCACACTGCACTAGCAGGGCTAGAAGGCAGGACCAGATCCAGCATAATTCAGAAAAAAAATATAATAAATAACCTGTTTAGGTCAAAAGTTATGGACTCAGAAGTCAGAAGCAGCTGAATTGCACAGTGAATGAAAATGCTGCACTATCAATTCCTGCAGAAGCTGCAGAGGGATGCAAAGCAGGGGCAGGTAAGGAGGATGCTCAGTCTGGCAATAAAATTCAATCATGCAATAAAGACAGCAGCCTCACCCTGCTTTTGCATCCTACTTTTTTCATGGTAGTAATTCTGCCCCTCACTCTTTGCAGGTGGATACTAATAATAAGTTTCTAACCTTGTTTGGTGTTCAAGTTAATTCCAGTTAATTTTGCCAGCACGTTTCAGATATTTGCTCATAGCAAATCTAATTGGCAAAGGTTAGAAACCTCAGGTTCAGTCCTAGGCTCTAGAAGGTGCTTCTCAATTTCCCCTCCAAAGGGTCACATCCTGTGCACAGTCCCAAGCCTGTTTCTCCTTCTCTAAAGAAGGATGAGATATCACACATTTAGAACAGTTAAGAAAATTTATACTAAAAACCACAAACAAACAAGAAAAGCCCCCCCAAATCAAATGGTTATTAGATATAACAGGACTTGTCACTGCACTCAAAAAAAAAAAAAAAGCTTTAATGAGGCAATCTTGCTTTGAATGGATGTTTTGCCTTTAATTTTTTTTCCAAGAGATCGGAATTTGTCATAAATAACTTTTGCGATTTGGGTTACAAAATACCCTGGTTCATAAGGCTCTCTACTTCTGTAATCTTTAAAATTATATGCAGATATTCTGAGCTGTGTGTTGAAGGACTTGTACAAAGACATTTTAGCTGTTTTTTGGGTTTTTTTTTAAGCTGTCCTGCTATGACTGTGGTAAGCATACATGTATCTTAGATTAAATAGATGAAACCATTCCTGCTTTTAAATAGGACAGGACTCTGTAAGCCCCTGTCTTACAGAGCAGAAGGGAAGAAAACACTTCATGTGAATTCTGTAATTGGTAGGACAGTCACACATCCTAAACCTGTCTGCAAGGCAGCATCACTGCTGCTATCAGGGAATTTATCATCCATATAGAGGCATTTGGTCCCTATGAGAGAGGGACAATCCAGTGTCTGTCCTGTCATCCAAAACTGCCTCCTGCAACATTTCACATTCCTCCTCATGTTCCTCTACAGATAATACTTATATTTTAATAAAACACCAGGACTCAAACAGACCTGGAAGGTCTGGTACATGTGTGTGTTTCTTCTCTGTTACATTGTACAAAAAACATTTTGGGGTATATTTAGCTGTGGCTTAGACGTAGTACAGGAACAAGAATTTAGCTTCTCTCTGATTTCACATGACCAAATTTTCATTTTTGTTCAATTGCAAACATACCTCGGGGCTTCCAGATGCTTTCCTGCCTCCAAAGGCTCTTGTGCTTCCTTCTGCATAATACAAAAGCTCTGTGACATGTGTGGCTACGTGGCACCAGGTCTTTGTTGCTCACAGGTAGCCTGCTGAAACCAGCAGGGCTGTTCCTGTGAGCAGGGACTGGATTTCATTTCTGCAAAGACTCAGGAGTGGACTGGACTTTTCTGGGCTTCACATTCTGAACAGCCACTCTTGTGTGGTTTGAGCCTTTTCCTTTTGTGTGCCCAGCCTCTGATCTGCACCACATAACTCACTGCCTGATAACTGCACAGTAATTTCATTGAATGTGCAAGGATTTTCATGCTCCTGAGAAGCAGATGTCATCTGATTATGCATTTAGACAGGAGAGATTTTAATATAAAGGAGAGGGGATCACCAGATAAAGGGAGCTTAAATGAGAGGAAGAGATAGTGTTAAATAATTTAGCTTGAAAAGAACAAAGATATTCAGAATGAACAAGATAAAGAGAGGTGTTAATTATAAATAGGAAAGTTGAGGAGAAAAAGTGGAAATATATGGGAGGCGGTTTACAACACATTTATATTTCTCACAAGCACTTAGTGGCATGAGCTCAGCTTTTCTCTGAGAAAATTGAAAAGATTGCTGTACTGATCCCAGTAGCTGGATTTCCTGGTGGAAGAGGAAATTTACAAGTCTTTATTGTGCCTTGCCCTAGGTGCTTATACTGCTTTAGGCATCTGCAAGGGATCTTTTGGTTCCTGCTGCTAAATATTATTGAATACCTTTAAATGCTTAGGTATTGCCAGCTGCAGGACTTACTACCCACCCTTAGCATAATGCAGTAGCAGGAATTATGTACAAGTTCAATTTAGAATAGTACTTCATGTGACTTAAACACACATATAAGTGTGCTTTTCTAAATAGAAGCTATGAGATGATTAAAGGTTTTGCGAATCTCTGAGTTTATTATAATGCTATGATCTTTTCCCCCCCAGGGACTGTAAATGCAGAATACTTTTTTGTTTTTAACTTGTAATAAAAGGTCCTCTTACATATTTAGTTATTCAACAAATAAGTGATTTTTCTTTTACTTAAGAGCTCAGTGTGAAGTTTTCATGAGATAAAAGAAAATTTAAAAGAAAACAAGTGGGGGTTTTGCTGATCCATTTCCTAGAATCTGCTTGTTCTTACCAGAAACAGAACCTGGTTTACTGATACTCCACTCCTATTCTCTTGACTTACTTCTTCTCCTAGACTACCAAGAGACCATATAAATTTGGAGAAATTTTCACGTTTAGCACTTTTTCACAGAAATACAGTTTCCCAGTAGACAGCAAAACTATAATGTATTCAGAAGGTTGCATTTAAAAAAAATTAAAAGGAAAAGAAAAGCTATTGGCATAATAAATTTCTTGGTCTTGGTTCAAATTATGGGCTTCTTCAACTGCAATTCAAAAGCAGGAGACAAAAATTATTTTTTTTTTAAACCATGAAAAGCTATACATATTTAAACCTGAAAAATGAAAGCAAGAACAGGAAATAGCTTCCCTGGATAATTTCACAATGAACAACTGCATTTAACCTATTAAATAAAAGACTTCAGATATAACAGGGGGATACCTTCATATCTTTTTCTCCTTATGCTTATAAAAATGACCTTCTAATATTAGAATAATCATACCAAAGTACCTACAACATGAGAATTTTCACTACAAAAGTCTGTGCTGCATTTTTACTAGGGAGAAGCAGGGGATTTATTCCACAGATGTGCATATGCAAAGTTTTACAATGCTTTTAATGTAATTAACCACTCATAATGGGAAGAGTGTAAATCACAGAAAGCAGAAAGAGAAGAGCAGTCACCCTCACCCCTCTAGTGCTGAAATCAGGAACCTGTCACAAAAGTCAAGTGTGGAAGGAGCAGCCATGAGAGCAATCAGCTGCTAGAAGTTTCTAGGAGGTTTGTCTTAAGGTTGATGAAAGCTGGCTTTTAGGAGCTTCAGCTTAATCTTCTAGAATGTCCAGGAGGATGGACAGCCCATGCTCCAAATTTTTATTCTCTTAGCTGGAAAGGAGCCTTATTTCTCTTGCATCTGTCCCATTTGATTTTAATATTACTAAAGAGTTTAAAGATTCAAAGAAAGAGGACCAATTTACCAGTTTCCCTGAGGGACAATGCCAGAGAAGCCTTTACACTTCCTGAGATTTGTCAGCTTGACTTCCTCTCAATATTGGCACCTGTTGTTACACCTCTTGGATCTTTGCAGCTCATTGCTGTGTCCCATCTTGACCACAGCCCAGGACCCAGCACCCCATCAGCCTGGAGAAAAGCAAAGTACATTCCACATAAATTTACAGCCACATACCTTGACAGTGCCACCATTTACCTCCTTTGGAGTAAATTCCACGCTATTTGCAAATACATGCATTTGATCCCAGCCTACCTGGCCTTGATTTCAAATGGACTAGGAAGTGATGTCACAGAAACACTGAGTGCTTCCAAATGCTGCATAGGTCAGTCCTGAAATGCCCTGGAATGTTCCCACACATCCTTTCCTAGAGAGGAAATCATGCACATCTCTTTCCTAGAGATGTGCATGACAGCACATTAATAGATGGGGTCTGATGCCTGATATGTTGATCAGGTTCACGTTTAAGTGAAAAAACATCAAATGATGAAGCAGATGCAGAAGGAGGAAAAAAAAATGGAGCCAAGAAGGGAGATAAGCTATGGGGAAATATATTAAATAATCAGGAAAAGTGTAACCAGAGAGGAAGAAATCCTTTAAAAGCTATTTAATAACAAATCAGATATTATATCTGTCAATACGTAAAAAATGAGGTTGCTGACAACTCTTCATCCCACAATCTGCAGCATTAATAAGTTATGAAGTATTAAAAAAACTGGGACGCTTTGTGCCTAAAACAGTATCACACGAGGACAAGGGAATAAAGCTGAACTAAAACAAAGGACATGATTGTGTTTTGCTGGCAAATAATGACATAAATGAAAAACAAAACCATGGAAACAAACACAACCCCTCCAACCAACAAACAGAAGGAAATATGACTGCCTTGGTTCTTTGGCAGTTAATCAGATACAAATCATGAAGTCAGCACTATCTGACAGAAGTTTTGGATGCATTTGTTATTCCAGGAGTGCTCAGCCCAAACTGCTTATTTTAACAATGAGAAGGAGATGGCAGGGGAGCAGAGGGTTAAAGTGACACTGAGGTAGGAGCTCTGGGATCCAAACTATTCCAAGGTAGACAGCACCTTGAGGGACAGTGCCTGAAGGGAAAGCCATTTCTATCCAAGCCTCCCACCCTGCTGCTCTCCTTCCACTGTGGATTCATTTCTCTTACTGCTGCCTCACTAACCAGGAGACAAGACTTTTGCTCCTCTGTCACATCCAGGGCTCAAATATACCCCACTTGCTTTTCTTTGGCACAGCAAACACAGCTGCTAAACCCTATCTCATCCTCAGCATCTGCCCCACACCTGCACCAGGACATTTCTGAATAGGTCTATACCTGGGGCACTCTGCCTTTTCATTCCTGTTCCCAGGGAAAGCAAAGAGTTATTCTTTCATCAAATAAAAAAATTCCTACAACATGATCAGAGCCTGACAAAGTCTTCCAAGCAGCACTGCCTGACATCTATCCAGTTTATGCCATAGAAGGCATCCTTGGGCAATTTTGTATTGTTCATTTCACAGGTCTAATCCAATCTCCCCCATTCCCTTCCATGTAAGTGGCTTTAATGCCACAGCCTTGAGCTGCAGTAAGTGAGGGAAGGAACTGATTTACTTTTTTAGTGGGTACAAGTCAGTCAGCAAGCACAGTAGGGAAGTTAGAGCAGAGGTGGGGAGGGATCATCTGGTTGGGGTTTTTGCAGCAGAACCTAAAGAGGCTGTATGAGGTAGGGCCTTCTATTTCCTTTAGAAGATGTGCATTAAGTAGAGCTCTACCCTGATTCCTTTAGGAAGTGGGAGAGTTATGATGGTGCCTTTTCCCTGAGAGCATTTCTAAGCTTTCCTCATAGGAAGCTTTCCTTGTGGTACATTCTTAAGTAGATCAAATGTAAAGGAAAATCCCAATTCAGAATTAATTGGCATACATTTTTTCAGGAGCTGGAGGGATTTTGAATTTCTTCCTTCTAGATGAACGTATAACGCTGCTTCATTTGATGCTGTACCTGTCTGTGGAAGGAGGCAATCACAAGACCTGCAGCAAGGCGCATCACCCTGAATTTACCTCTCCACCCTGTTACTCAGAGGCTGCCCAGCCTGGTGCCCACAGCCCACACTTAACTCCAGCTCATTCTTGAAGTCTTTGCTTCTGTAGGTGCTGTTCTCACTCTGGAGACAGTGGCATAGAATGAAAGCCATGTTTGGAATTAACTCTTTCCAGCAACCCTGCACAGTCAGAATCAGCAGTTGCTTGGTGGGGGAATAACACTCCTTTTTTAAAGGGGTCCAAAGTAATAGGTGGCTTAAAATTTCTTAGTACCTTTAGCTCCAGGACCATCCACACCGTGTGCTTGCCTTCTGTTATTTTGTGAAGCAAAGCTGAGGTGTTTCTACCATGACACAGACCACTGTCCCCTTGAGTCATGCTCCTGCTCTGGAAAAATGGTTTTCCTCTAAACATGCCCAAGCCACTGGCACATCCAGTAGTGCCTGAGCAGCAACACTCTCTATCCAGACAGGTATTCCCTGTTCACCTCCCGTCCAGCAGCTCTCTGGGTGCACAGCAAGCTCCATCTGAGTCACACAGTAATAATCATTGCTTATATACAAGATCCCTTGTGTACTGTATATTAATGTCTGGCTGGTAATTCAATGGCACCTCTAGGCATAAACAAAAGTTTATTAAAACAGTAAGTAAAATGTTCCCGAAGACTGGCCTGCATTTTTAATTTTCTATTCAGCATGCCAAAGTACAGAGCCAGCCTTCTTAAGAAAAAGGAAAGCTCCAGAGTTAACACCAAGTCACTTGGCACAAGTCAGACATAGCACAGTCTGAAGCAATAGGATGCTTCATTTATTCTCACAAGCCCCTTCTTTTCTGGTCCTCTTTAGCAATGACAGCCATGTAGAAATTTGAATTATTAGGAAATGCATACAATTCCAGAAAGCAGCAGCATATTGATTACTACTCATTTTACTTGTCATTTCTCAGCTAGGAAGCCACAGAGCAGCAAAAACCTTAAATCCCTCAGTAGCCAGTAGTTAGCAGTGCCCACCATAGTTAAGACTGAGGCATGCTCTGAACCTTGGGCACATAAAACTAACACCATTCCTCCCCCATGCTTTCCAGATGCCTTTTTTACAAATTATTTAGTGCTCTAAAACCACCAGGTTTCTTTTCTCATAACTAATCTCTTGAGGTCAGTAAAATGTGTATGTGCTTGCTAATACATATGTTTGAATACATTTACAGTGGGCAAGTAGATGGACACAGTTTTTAGACAACATTTAAGCAGAAACTTGAACTGATTTTCACATTTTAGATTAAAGATATGGAGACATCAAAAATTCCAGTAAAAAAATTGTCCGTTGAGAAAATTCACTGTGGAGATGCTGGAGCAGCTGTGCTTTTAGCAAGTCTCTTTTTAAATCCCAACCATGCTTCCAGACTGCACTGACATTCCCCCTCCACTCCTCCACTGTAATTTAGTGTACACTAAGGACCAGGAAGCATTTCTCAGCTCCCAGGGTACATCACCACCCCTCTCCACAATGAAACACAGCCCCAAGGTGCTCAACTGGCCTCTTGGTTTCCACAGAAAGACAACAGGAGCATTCAGACTGGACAGAAGGTGCAAACACATCATACAACAGGTTCCATCAATGTGAGCATCCACAGGACTTTGGGAGCCTGGAAAAAACGGCTGTTCCCAGCTCTTTGCTTGCAGCCTCAAAACTTTTGTCATAACCTAGAACGTTTATCGGCTTGCCACCATTTACGTGAAAGGAGGTTGTAGTCAGGTGAGGGTCACTCTCATCTCCCAAGTGACAAGAGGAAATGGCCTCAGGTTGTGTCAGGGGAGGCTGAGATTGGATATTAGGAAAAATTTATTTACCAGAAATGTTGTCAAGCACTGGAACAATGTCACTGTCTCATTTTCTGAAAAATCCCTTCACCAGGATTTCTTCTCCTGGGAAGCTGAGAAGCCTCAGAAAGGAATGAAAACAATTATCTGATTGCTTCTCCAGTGTTTGCTGCTTTGGAAGGTGGTCTGGAGATTGTTACCAACAGGTGCATGTTTGATTGGTTTCATGTGAATTGTTTTTTCTTAATAACCAATCACCATCAGCTGTGTCAGACTCTGAGGAGTCAGTCACAAGCTTTTCATTATCATTCTCTTTCTTTAGTATAGTTTTAGTATGGTATTCTTTAATATAATATCATAAAATAATAAATCAGCCCTCTGAGAACACAGAGTCAGATTCTCATCCCTCACCTCATCCTGGGGACCTCACAAACTCAACAGAACAGACTGCCCAGGGAAGTGATGGAGTCACCATCCCTAAAGGTGCATAAAAGACATGTAGAAATGGCACTTAGGGGCATGGTTTGTGGTGGGCTTGGCAGGGAAACAGGCTGGATGATCTTAGAGGTCTTTTCCAACCCAAATGGTTCTGTGATCAGGGAACTCAAGCAGCTAAGAAGTCACAAACAGCACCAGCAAGAATTTGCAAGGATGAGAAAGACTACAACTACCATGGGAAAAAATGCCCAGAATAAATCCCCTAATGCCTATACGGATTTTTTTTACAGAATAAAAACTTATTCTGTAAAAAAATAAAAGCATTAATTTTGCATCAGCTGCTTTTTTAATGCACCATTCTTCAGCTTTTTAGTTTTTATAACACATTTTTCTTATATTTAGGAGGACAATCTAATATAAACAGATTTGTTATTGACCTGTTGGCCTTAACCTGCAGAGTCTGGTGTCCTTTATTTATAGCAACATGATTTTAGCATTTAAGAAAAACCATAGACCCTTGTTCAAGATTAGATATTAAAGCTTTGAGCATTCATCAGCAAGCACAGGACTCCAAAGCTTGCACAGAAATCTCGGGGGGGTTTTTTTGTCTATCAATATTTCGTGGCACTGCTCACGTGAGAAAAAGCAGAAGATCAGGGTCAGGCAACAATGCCAGTGTAAGTGTGATGTGCACTCTGTGGTATTTCTCATTTCCAGTTACAACATCAGGGCTGATATGTTATCTGTCATAAAATGCTGCCACAAAATATTCAGACATAATGGACTAGATATGCAAACAAGAGCTTGCATGGTCTGGCCCAGAACTTAAAATTAGGCAAATTAACACTGCCTTTGCAGGCTTCAGACTCAACCTGGCAGTGAGTCCCTGGAATCCTCACAGAGGTCAAGAGGTCTTCCACATGGGATGGCAATTCTTATTCAAACCATTCCCTCATATAAGACATTCAGTGTAAGTCTCTTTTCTTCTAGAGAGAAGTGTTTAGGATCCTCACCGTTAAAGGCAAGAATTCGTTCCCATTTTAGCATTTTTAAATCTCCACAGTTGTGATTCTATCCATCCTTAATATCACACTGTCTGTGCAAGGTCCACCTTTCATCTCCCCTGCAGAGCAGCTGTGAAAACACAAGAACTGAAATTTTAGCCCCGGTTCAACAGAGCACTCACACACATTTCAGGTGCTGGTGAAGAGGCTGATTTACTTAGATGCTCTGCTGAGCTACAGACCTGTGACCTTCTATCATATGCAACTTTAAATTGAGCTAATGTCAGTTATAGATATATGCACTGACATAAACCACTGGCTTTTTCATTCCAGGAACTGAAGGGAAAAAGGAAAAGGCTGGTCAGAGTCTGGAAGCTTTGCATATTCATACATCTTACAGTTGTTAAGTGTTTGAAAATTCAGGTAATGAGCATACAATACTCAGGCTGCCTTTGTATTGCTTGGGGGTTTGCCATTCTAGTAATATCTCTACAGAAACCCTTCTATCAAGACAGGGGTTTTTTGCCCTCAAATTGAATTAGCACTTGTACATTAAAGTTTTCAACATCACCCATAAGATTTTTCAACTTGTCAAAAGAATCTGCATGGTCTCTAACCATGAATAAAAATGATTTCAGGTATCATCTTTATTTCAAGTTTTATTTCCTGGGATTAATCTAATTGATTGTGCTGGTGGCTTGTCAAACAGCTGCTGAAATAAACAGACTATTTGTCTTTCTATGTAAACATATGGGTACCTGGTTTAACTAAAGTTCATACCAGTGTTGAGGGGAAAAACATCCAACAATAACAAAAAAAAATCCCATTTTCCAAACTGACACCATACACCTGAAATTGAAAGAACTCTCCTAATTTTCCTCCTGGTGATTTTAATAAATCTTTTCTCATATAGACAAAAAAAAAATAAGTCCAGTAGACCATATATAACCTCATTTTTAAAATATATAGTCAGATGCTCACACAAGGTATGCATGGTTTTCTCCTCTATAAATAGGAATAACCCCATAAACCCTTACTTCAATATAATTCTCATTTTTTTCTTAGAAGACCTAACCTTGTTTTGCATCTTTGATTACAATCCCATTAACCCTTTTTATGGCTTCATAACAGACCAGGATCTACACCAGAGACTGGAGGTAAAGTTCAGTGAAATGCAAATAGTTCTGGGCAGCACCCAGCTGCAAATGTTCACATTTCTACTTTCCCCAGGTATCTCTAGTGCAGAAAATAGCATTGCAAATAGGAAATAAAAGAAATAAATAGTTCCAAGTAATTCTTCATAAACTCTTTTTAAAAAATTATTTAGTTGTTTTTAGATCCTTAGGCATCTTGATTTCCTTAGCTATTCTCATACACATAATCAAAAATTATGGGCTGGCATGGAGATAATATAAGTGTAAGTAGGTGGAGCCTCTAACACCGGCATGGAATTGGGCAAAAATAATTGTTTCTGTAATAGGATGCTGGCAAATACATACAGGATCAGTTATTAATAGCCTTTTTATGCATAGATAAGCACCACTCTAAGCAGCATGCATGTGCACAAATGAAATATTAATAAGCAGCACACAGTTGTGTCCAAACAGAGGGAAAGCTCCACAGATAAGACTTAGAATCACAAAACCACTAAATTATTTAGGTTGGGAAATACCTTTAGGATCGAATCTAACCCATAACCCAGCACTGCCAGGTGCATCACTAAAACATGTCCCTAATGTGTCACATTTACACATCTTTTAAACACCTCCAGGGATGGTGGCTCCACCACTACCCCGGCCAGCTTGTTCCAATGCCTGACAACACTTTTGGAGAAGAAATGTTTCCTAATATCCAACCTAGACCTCCCCTGGTGCAACCTGTAGCCATTTCTCTGGTCCAGGCACTAGTTACCTGGGAGAAGAGACTGATCCCTATTCAGCCACAACCTTCTTTCAGGGACTGCAGGGAGTGGTAAGGTCTCCCCTGAGCCTCCTTTTTTCCAAACCTATCACTAAACAGCTAAAAATTTCAGAAAGACAGCAAATACTTCAGAAGAGGCACAATCAAGCTATGGCTGCTCAAAGTTATTCATTTAATGGCAAAAGTAAGCTATTCCCATTTTCTCAGATCAGTGTATAATTTGGGGAGCTGTCTGTCTTGGGATAGCCTATTTTTACCCTTAACGAAGGAGCATAAAAATTCCAATCAGTTTTCAAATCTCAGGAGCCCAAAGAAAATTTGCATATCTGCATAAAGAAGGACCTGGTACAGAAGACTAAAACAGGAATCTTTTGGATTACACAAACTCAGGTGGGATGCTGCTGTGGTCAGTTCCCCAACAGGATTTAGCACAGTTGGTAAGACCTACCTTCTTTCAACCCCTCCTCTGGAATGATGCCAGCTGTAATTATACATTATAATGAGCAAGAATCTTGAATTCACAGTAGAGCAGTGAAGTTGTTTCTTCTCACCTTCAGTAATGTATTTCTGCCCTCCTTCTTCATCTTTGCTGTGTTGTTTTGTAGTTTATGTCAAACAAGTCTCATTCTTCTCATTACAGACAAAAATCTCTGCTTGTTGAAGTGCTGAGAGAGCTAATTCTTGTTGTTCTCACTTGTTACAGAAAACCTCCTGCCAAAGGAACCGTTTGGCTTAAAATATTGTAAACAACCTCTCCTCCTTTTCCCACCACCACAGCTTGCTTTTAAGAAGTCTGTTTTCATAAACAGCATGTCTTGTCGGCTCAAAATAGCATAACTGGGAGTTGCCATATCAAATACATTTCTAGAAGATGGCAGCAAAGGAATACCTTGACAGACTACTGATGACCTCCTGCAAGTCAGGCACTTAAAAGGCTCATTTCCCTGGTTAGCAGATTAAAAAGTAATGGCTGAGTGGCACTGCTTCCACTCACTTGTCAAGGGCAATACCTGCCCTGTGGGCTACCGTGGAAATAACACCCAAACTCACTATGGAGGTGGCTACCAAATAAGTCAGACTGACTGGGGGGTATGAAAAACACACATTAATGCCAGCTTCCAGCAGACTGCAGAAAAGACCAAAAAATACAGACCTGCTTTTTCTATCATACACTTCGCCTTGGTAATGCCCATGGATTTCTACAGCATTTCTTCCAAGTTAAAAGCAGGGTGGGAAGGATGAGCTCTGTTAAGGAGAAAAGCTGTCTTTGTATTTGTCTGGGTTTTGCCTGGTGCCTAAGTGCTAGTTTCTTAAAATACAAATACACACAAGCACAAAAGAGATGAAGAAAACTAAGTTTTATTTTTTTGCAGTTGTTATTTAAACAGGCCTGTGTAATTCCTGAAGCAAGTAGAAGGGGCAGAAAATGCCTCATACCCACAACTTAGAAATTCACTGACCTGTGGTCTTGCTCCTAGATTACCACTACTCAGCCCAAGCATTTCAACTGGAGGTAAAAAATGAATTTTTAAATGTGACTTATTCTTGCAGACTTCAAAACTGAGGAGAAAGCCTTAGTAGAAAAGGTGAAAAGTGAAATCTTGATTCTGTTCAGGTTAATAGACAAGGTTCTCTTGACAAGTGAAATTAATCCTGGATTTAGTTTCCAAATTCCAAGTTCTGCCCTCATGGGAGTCCCATGACCACTTCTGAAAGCATCAGAGACCAACACACTTCCAAAATAACCTCTGCATCTGAATGCAGGGATTGCTCACATTGCCCACACATACCAGCAGGTGCTGGGTGATGTTGAGTGAATTAATTAAATTTTCCCTTGGACAAAACATGCACTAAAGCCCACTGAGCTCCTCCAGGTAGGAGTGAGCAAAGCCATATGCAAGGAGGTGGGGCTGTTCCCCAGGGATCGTGATTAGTGTTTAAAAATGGGAGAGCAGGAGGAATTGCCCTAAAAAGCAAATTGTTTTTCCACATAAGCAGGAAAAAAACCAAAACCAACAGAATAAACAGCAAACTTAAACCAACTGGAATGATGCTAAATGAAGCTATGATTAGCCAGCACTGGGCTTGGTATGTGAGACACTTGCAATACCATCAGCTTCCAGACAGGCATTTTTCATTAGGCTTTGTGCTAATTGTTTACTAATAAGAGGGAAGTTTTTGCCACCTTTGAGTGAGATACCTGGGTATCACAGAATCAGGGAATGGTTTGAGTTGGAAGGCAACCTTGGAGATCACCTGGTTCCACCCACCTGCTGTGGGCAGGGATGTGCATGGCAGGATGTGTCTTAGAGGCTGTTCATTTCTGTTCTCCACCCCTGCCCACCCACTAGAGGGTTTTGAGAAGTTCCCACCTTTGCTTTCTATTTTACCTGCTGTGTTACCTTCCATCCCCTGAAGTTGCACTGGGTTACTATTTATTCATCACTTTGCTTTATTAACACGCAGTTCAGGTTTTCACCTACGTTGGATGTTTTGCAACCATGAAATAAGGATCTAAAAATTCAAAAGACACAGGAGTGTAAAGAACCTTTCAGGCACCTTCTGCTTTCTGAAGAAGCCTCAACAGATAGAACAGTTCAGCAGTGCAGAGCTGTTACCTGTGACCTAAAATAGCTTCTAACACAGCAAATTATTTCAGGTATCAACATTGTTATGCTGGAATAAATGCAGAGCTCTTTCTACATTTTTGTCATGTTCTGATAAAAATCCCAGCTCTGACAGGACATCTTGACTAAAGAGTCCACATGAAATATGTTGCTAATTATTTATACACCTTTTCAAAGGCTCAGTGCTGCTACTTGTACTTCTTGCTACTCTTACCTACCCAGGCCCTAAAGCTCTTTTTCAATCACTGAACTGAAACCCCCTTAGAGTAACAAGTTTATAATAGAGGTTCATAACCTGGCAGTGATTAACACCACAGGTTAATGAAATGGGTGTAGAACAGGCTTTTCCTCCTTTTTTCTTTAAAGGAAACTGGCCCCAAGTGGTTTTTCCCTTTTTTGCTATGTGGAAATAAATTTGCAATTAACTTTTACTTATTGGTGTCGTAGTGCCCTCTGAAGACCCCAGCCAGAAACCAGCACTTGTTGTGCTTCTCAGCACATAAATGTGCACCAGAGGTGCAGTCACCCTGAAGAGCTGAGAGCTCAGCACCACCCCTCAGCTGAGCTCCAGGGGCCAGGGATGGGCTCTGCCAGGACCCACTCCTGCATGGAAAAGAGCAGGCAGCCTCATGCTTGTGTCATCTTCGTGACTAAAGCTGCTTGATAATTCAAAATAATTAAGAGAAGTTGTCCTCCACCAGCATAAGAAGTTGGTCAGCTTCTTATGAAAATCATAATTATCAAGTCCACCTACTGCCAAATCTCCTGTGTTCAATTCACTCCAAGACCAACAGGATGCCCCACACCCAGGGAATTATTCTTTGATTTCAGCTGTTTGCAATTGAACTCTCACTGAGCACAGCAGAGTAACAGGAAAAATGAGTTTGTGGTGGTTACCAGGCTGGATGCGCCTAGGAAGTCTGAACTTCCCAAAACTTAGAGCCAGTAAGAAACTCCAAACAGAAAACAGCTCTTAGTGGCTGCTTTCTAAACTCCAAACCCATTGCTTATCAGCCACTAGCCATAGCATTTTTGTTTAGGATTTCTGGAGCATGATCTTGAAATAAATGGGATTAAAATCTTGATTCAATTCCAATTGAGGAAAAAAAAAGTAAATTCCTGGACTGCACTAGCTAAGTGCAAAGACAAAAAACCCTTTTGAATTAGCACTGAAATGTATATTTGCTTCACCTCACTAGGTCAGAGGGATTTTCTCCTTGTGTTAATTGCTTTTAAAAATTGCAGACTCCAACCACCCAGAGTCTGGGTAAGCGACAGACTGAGCCTGACCACCCAACACCTCCTCCCAGGGCTCTCCCTTGCACTTGTGCAGACCCAGACTTCCCTCACTACCAGCTGAGTTTGTGATAACAGAACCACCTCGTTGATCCGGAGCAAACTCATCCTCCTGCTTGACAGCTCTGCCTCCTCCTGAGGTCCTGGCAGCTCACAGGAGCAGCAAGCACCCCTCATCCCCTGCCTGTGTCCATGGCCTGTTGGGATCTCTCCCTTCTCTCCAGCTGTTAGTGCTCAGGACTGGAGCATCCAGGTGCTGCTATGGGGGCTACATTAACCTGTGCAAGTAACGACTGCCATGGGCTCACTCTGCTCCCTTACCCTCATCCCAGCCACTCATCAGGATGTATTTTTTTAATGCTTAGATTTATTTTTTTCCTGCTTAGATTTTCATGTTTCTATAGCCCTCCTCTATTTCACTTTGTTTTGGTGATGAGCATGTCAGTGACATGAGGTAGAAGACAACATCAGTCCCCAGTTCTTGGGTGTGCTTATTCCATACCTTGGACCAGTCCTGAAGGAAGATTTTCCTTTCACAAGAAGTTTTAAAACCCTATCCCTTAGAGCATTAACACTCACCACAGCAGAGGAACAAAAGCCTGCATCCTGAAGAAGCAGTGGTTTACTTTTTACCCTCTCACACTGAGTACTCTCTGTCCTCTACTGCTTTTCCTATGAAACACATACCATTCCAAATAACAAGAGTCACCCCCAGGAAGCATATGCTTCCTTCTCACATCCTGAACTGCCATCACCTTGTGATCTCACCATCCTCTACCTGCTTTAAAATGCTGTTCTCACTTTTCATCACAGATCATAGCAGTCAAGCATGGATTTAAAAAAATTTAAAAATCAACTTATTTGCACATAAACTATTGGTAGACTTAAGCAAGTTCTGAACAGCAAAATTTTAGCAATCTAAAAGAGACATAGAAAAAGTTGCTTCTCTTTTAAATAATGGCTCAATTTCTCATTTATGGCCTGTGCCAAACTGTTGGTGGTGATTTATCTAAAAGGGGATATTTCCTCTTTGCTCCTACTTAGACAAACTGACAAAGAGGGGGGAAAAAAGGAGTTGGCAAGTACATCAAAAAACCTGAAATAATTTTTTTGTTAAGTTATAGTTGGGAGTAGGCTTCTTTACTATGGGAAAGGTTTTAAAAAATTATATTACAGCCCAAACCCGAGCTATGCTATAACCTGAAATCTTAATATTCTGATGGGTGCCAGTAAAGGATTTAAGGTCCAATTCATACACACATTTACTAACAAACTAGGGAAGTGTTAACTTACATTGGAATTTCTGCTTGCATAACAGAGAGATGATGATTTCAAGAGGTAACTGTGTGCACACACTAAAGGACTGAGGTTTTGCAGTCTCTGGTTCATCGGCAATTTCTTTCATGGGAAAAATAAACAAAAAATAACAAGCAAACATCCCTTCCAAAATAAGACTGCAAATTCCACTTAGCAGTTCCTTAGTTTTAGTGCTACTAGCACAGCTTGTCTCTCCTCTAGGTTCAGCTCAAACTCTGATTTGATAGCTGGTTTTGACTTGGCAGGAGCCTTTCCCACAAAAAATGCACCAGTCCTGCTTTCCTCTTTCATTTCCTTTTGCTCTGCAGAGACCAGTGGGACCCTAAATCCCCAAGTTCAAGGAAAACCAGCAACTGTTCATATAGAGATCTGTTGTTTGCTATCATTTTACAGGGCACAGCTCAATTTATGAAAACAAATTAAAAAAAAAAGTTGATTGTTGCAATGAAATCTTACCTTAAAGCAGGTAAGACAGGACACAAACTCAAACAGTGAATTGCAGCCTGTTTTGAAGCCAATGGAATACTGGACTGCCTCTTTAAAACAGATAGTCTTGCCAAAGAGCACCACATCTCAGCTCTCAGAAGAAAGCTACCCAGCTATTCCCAGGTCTGGCTGAATTTTTAAAGAACACTGAAATGTTTGGAGTGCTCACACATGTATTAATGCTGCAAAGATGCTTCCAATTCACTCAGTTTTTTTCTGACTTAAAATGGAATAAATAAAAGCAAAACCTAGTCATGTACCTTTGCTGAATTAATGTTTCTTCCCTCCCCCTTTAACCAGCCTGGCTTCTTTATATATGGATAGTGGGCTTGGTTAGGGTCAAGGTTGTCATCATCTCAGTGCCCATGTAAAATCACTGTCAAAGTGTTACCAAAAAGATATATTGTGCAGGTATAGAAGAAAGTCTGCTATCCCTTGCGACATCATCCATTTTTATTATGCCACGTTATAAATTACATTTTTCATCGTGTATCTTAGGCATGGAAAATAAATGCACTAACCCTCTAAAAATAAGATTCCTCACTAAAACCCTCTATAGAAGATACCAGTCCAGAGCACATATTTACAGCTACATCATAAATCTTTGGTAAAAATGGGATTTATAAAAGCTGTGCTGACACAGCTTATCTACAAGATTCTGAAAACGACAGCCATGTGCAGAGAGCTCACCCTGCTAAAGCACAGCTGTATGAATATTGAACATCAAACCCCACACAAGCCCTCTGACCTCGGCAGCAGCTCCCAAACCACCCCTGCCTGCCTCCCTTCCCAAGCCAGGCTCCCACCCACAGCTGGAGCACAACTGTGAATCAAACAGAACAAAACTCTTTCCATCACTTCTTTTCTCTCAGTTGCTTGCAGGAAGATGTTCTTTCTACCCACTTGTCCTGGGTTTTTCTCACCATCACCTTTTAATATCTAAATCAGCTGGGTCTTGCTAATTGATGAGCTTCAGTGGCTTTGACCTGCAGGCATGTAACCCTTCCCTGCCAGCTTCCTGAACTTTTCTGGTCTTCTGGTCCATTTTTAATTATTCTGAGCAAAAACCTTCTTTAGCACTAGACACAAACCCTGCAAAATACTGGGACATGTCATGGAACATCCTCCTGGGGACAAGGGAGGCCACCAGGTGTTAGAGAGATGTGAAGTAAGAACTCAACCCCATTTCATTCCAAGATATACCTCTTACACCATCCCTGCAGTAGGTGAGCCCCAACACTCTGCTGGGCACCTGAAGGAGGATTTGCTTTTGGCTAGGGCTGAGGAGAAGAATTTTCCCAACCCCCTAGAAACAGGCAGTAGGGCCAGGCACCCAGAAGATGTCAATACCTGGACACCCAGCACAACCCTCTGGAAGCATCTCCAGAAGTCACCCTTCCCATAGCAAACTTTCAGGGCTACCCAGGGGGACGGGAACACAGATGAGATCTGGCTGTCGCTGGTCCCTGAGGCCCCAAAGTATCACCAGGATCACGGAGGGAGAAAGGGAAGGGCCGGGGGAATCCTGGTCCTGAACTCACCTCTCCAGGGCTTGGACTGCCCCCACCTCCCAGGAAAGCAAGCAAAAAAACTCACAAGCAAAGCAAAACAAAACCAAAACAAACTCCCATAAAAGCCCCAAACCTTCCACTCACTACCACAAACTACATTTAATTTTCTGACTGTCCCAGCTGTGTTTATATGGATGGGAGGGCGCGGCGCATCACATCGTATCGTATCGTATCGTATCCCATCCTGTCCCACCCTCCCCTCCCCTCCCGCCCCTGCCCTGGAAGGCCCCGCGGGAGCCGCCCCACTCCGAGCAGGGCACTCCCGAGCGCATCCCCCTCACTAAAAGCCATCGCACAGCTGTCAGCACTTACGGCAGACAGCTTCAAATTGTTGTAAAAGCTTCTTCAGACCCAACCTCCTCGTCCAGAAATACACACGGACATTATTAAAAATTGTATCAAGCAAAAAAAAAATGGAAACTCTACCCTTAATAAAAAAAACCAAAACAACAACAACAACAACAACAAAAACCCAAACAAAACTAACAAAAAAAAAACCCAGCACCACAAAAAGCCAAAAACCTCCCCATCATTTTGGCCTACCTTAGGCTAGAGTGTCTGAAGCCAGCAGGAGCATTTTCAAAGGCAGGCAGTGTTAGGAAGTGTTTCCTCCTCTCATGGGTGTGCAGCAACAAATTCACTTACCCAAGGAAACATTCTGGCCTAAACAAGGAAAGCAAAATGCATTTTACTCAAGCAAGTTCAGAATGTCATGGCACCTACCAGGCAACAGAACTGCTGAGGGATTAACAAGTAAAAATATTATTTGATTTTACATTTTCTATATATTCACAGCACTAGACACAGAGTCACACACATGCAGCTTGATGATTTGAACAGTTTAAAAGGACAGCATCTTAGGGGTGTCCCAGGTCTTCCCCATCAAAACAAGCACTAAAGCAGTTAAACATGAATTTGGTTCACTCCAATTCAGCAAAATATTTAAAGTAGGATGTGTGGATAGAGGCTCTTGTGAGTAAATGCCTCTACAGAAGTTTGTGCTACATGCTATGGACTGAGTTGTCTGCCTTTTAAACTCCGCTTTGGATTGGTTGTACAAACATCTGTCGATTATTAATCTCCTGCCTTTTTTTTCTGGGCATCATTTTTTTTCTTTCTTCAGTTTTTCTTTACCTTCACAGTACCATTTTCTGAGCTGTCTCCTTTCCTGCATGTCTGTGTGTTTGCAGCTCTTAACACAGAACCATTTAATAAGCTTTGATGTTCCTGGCAAAACTCCCATTGATCGTCTTGATTGCCTTTGTAAGAGATTTCACTGGAATTCGATGGCTGTCTCAGGACTGGGGGAGACACGTGATAACACACTCCCAACCCGCTGCTTCCAGCAGGAAACCTTGATCCAAGCTGCAGATGCATTTCACAACTTGATTTCACTTCATTAACAGTCTTTAAAACGTACAATACTTCATTTTAAAAAAAGGATAGCGAGCACAGGTGGATTCCTGTCCATGCTCTGTGAGGGAAGGGGAAGGGGAAGGGGAAGGGGAAGGGGAAGGGGAAGGGGAAGGGGAAGGGGAAGGGGAAGGGGAAGGGGAAGGGGAAGGGGAAGGGCTTTGGTGTGTGCCCAGAGGTTGTGCAAAAGGTGGAAAGCATTTCTGCTGAATTGTAACCAATATAAAATGAAGAGGATTTGTGATTAGCTTTGAATAAAGCTTGGCCAAGTGAGTGTGCCCACATGTAAGGTGGACACCCTCCAACATTATCATTGCTGTTATGCACAGATTTATTACTGGAATTAAAGCCTGGTTTTCAAGGACTAGGTCTGAGCTCAGTGTGTCTGGCCTTGCAGGGACAGATGTTCCAGCACACATCTGATATTTCCATCCTGATAGATGCTAGTCCTAGTGGGGCTTCCCCACCAGTCAGGTTCCAGTTCCACCATGCTCTGTGTGTGTGAATATTGAATCAAAGGGAGAAAACAGAATAATTCCCAGACATTTTCCACCACACATTCATGGATGAGTCCATGCCAGACCTCCCAAAACTACAGGGACTGTGAAAGCACAGTCCATGGCATGGCACACACCAAATACCACAGGACACATGACCCTGTCTCCCCAAATAAGTATTTTAACACACTATTTAATGGCTCAGAGGTACAACACCAACCCAGTTACACAACTGTGCCTGCTCAGAAACACAGGCTTTCATCACCTTTCCCAATGTGTATCAACTGTCACAGTTGTTTCTTTCTGGCTGCAAGGAGAAAGCTGTCTGGTGAATCCTGGGGACCTGTAAAGGGATCAGCCAATACCTTGCATGGCAGAAGGGGGAGAAAAGCAAATCATATTTTTCTTGAAAACACTGAAGAAGTAGATGGAAGACACTGAAAACTTACAAAGGCTAAGAGCTCTGGGCTGAGGACGTGCCATGAGAACATGATCAAATTAAAACCACAACATTTTCCCTAAGTTAGAGCAAGCCCTGGAAGATCTCTGAAATGCAAGCACCATCTTTCACTGCACCGAGTGCCTGGCACCAGCCTCCAGGCACCAGGCTGAACACACACATCCTCACTGCTCCAGTTAAATGGCATACAGAGGGAGGAATTTCATGCTTAATTAGGGAATGTGTTTGGAATATGATTTGTGATAATACATCCATAACAAGGGGAATTAATGAAAATAATTAATGAAGGCTAATCTAAGATACCAGGGTTTTGTCTAAATCAGCAAGAGTTGAGTCCCAAGGACATTCACAGTGTGATTTATAGGATTTTTTTTAATGATCCATGAGGCCTTAATGTTTTCAATACAAGTAGGGGATGGGGATGGGGTTAGGGAGAGCTGTTTGTAGGGTAGGATCCTGTGTTCCTGTGAGAGTTAGATGTGAATTTATCTGTTTTGTATTATCCAGTGTTTCTTTTCCTTTAGAAGCCACTTTATGTCTGAATTTCCCTCTTTCCAATTTTATCTTGACCTGTAAGGGAGAGCAGTGAAGCCCTCTGCATATCCAGCTGCTCTGATTTTAGAGTGTTTGGACAGCAGTGTATCTCAAAAACAAAAACCCCAACCCCAAATCCAAACAATCAGAAATACAAGGCAAAGTCACGGCCTTGCAGGATGTCATGGCCCTTGAGGTACAAAGCATACAATGGAAGCTTGAATTAAAATGAATGTATCAAAAATAACTTTTGCGCAGCGCCATGGCAAGCCAAGCCAAGGTGATGACTGTGCTGATCCCAGCTAGATGGCCCAGGGCAGGAGAGTCACCCTTGCCACTGGTGTTAGCCAAGGCTATGGATGGAAAAGGCCTTTCCTGAGGTCTCCAGGGCTGGCAGAGCCTTGGAAGAGCCTGAGGAGCTGCAGGAGTGTTCTTGCTCTCCCCTGCCACACTGGGCCCACCTCAAACAGCAGCACCAACAAAGAGAGGGGGTTGGAATCTGTGCCAAAATAAATGCCAAAAAGCCCAGTACAAAGAGAGGCCCTGCCTCCAACTCCACCCTCCCTGTTGGAAAAGCAGTTCTGGGATGGTGTCCTGGGTGCTGTGGGGAATGTGCAGTGCATGTGAGCAGAGGAGAGGCAGTGGGAGCTGGACAGCTCCTGCTTAGCAGTCTGCTCACATCCTTCTCCCATGAAGAATATTCAGCTTTCTTTGTCTAAAATGTTGAGTGGTTGTGAATAGTAAGGATAGACTATCTGTAATTATTTTTAAATTATTAATGGTTTTGTTAGATCCCTTCACTTCTACATTAGGTTTCTGTTAATGTAAGTTAAATCAAAATGTACTTCAGTTTCCAGGCAGCTCCCAAATGTATTTTTCATTCTTTCATAACATTACTTCAAGTTCTCGATGAGGTGTCTATGATAAAGTTTGCTCCCGAGCCAGCAGACTTCCAGTGCTAATGAATTCAGAGAAAGGCTCAGCAGGCAGGGCTTTCATCGGCCGGGCTGGGTGGCCATGAGGAGGCCACGGCTGCATGGCCAGGCAGTGTCCCACCCCCAGCTTCCAGGTATCATATTCCATCCGTGAGAGGGAGCATGGGATCCACCGCGGGATCATCAAATTTGTCGGAAGAACTGAGTTACTCTATTGGCACTTTCCATTATGCTTAGGAGCTTTTTACGCCAGGTCAGAAAACACCCGCGGAACGCCTGGCTCAGGGCTCAGAGCCTGCAGGCAGGGAGGAGAAGTTCCGCTTGCCACCCTGCCCCAGGAGATGCTCTCAGATGGGGAAAAGAGAGGGGTAAAATGCGGATTTCTCTTCCCTCCTCTCCCCTCAGCCGGGCTCGGGGGTCCGCACCCCCGCCCGGCCGGCGCCCGCTCCTGCAGAGGGGGCAGAGCTGGGGACAGGAGGGTGCGGAGTCAAACGCGTGCATTCAACACAAACGCCACGAAAAAATGCCTGGATAAATTATGCAGAGGGATTTCTGGATTTCTTTCAAGTAATTAAGTTTCGATTTCTTGCATTTATTTTAGTGCCAGGAAGCACGAGGCGCCACGGACGGCAAAACTCTTCATTGATCGTTCCGGGCTCGAAGTTTGACTTCGTGACTTGACTCGGCTCGCGGCGGCGGCGCGGCCGCAGATTTGGGAGCG